TCGTCCAAAACCAAATGCAATTTCCTGGGCCCCAGCACTTCTCCACCACCATTATTGTTTGATTGTTCGATTGTTCGTTTCTCTTCAACTCTCATAGAAAACGTTACCCAAATTTAGTCCTCAACTATTGTATAAGTTCCTAAGTTTCTTCTAAAACTTAAAACATTCATGTTTTGATTCTTAAAGTTTAGAAATTTGATTCCTTTGTTCCCTCGTTAAAAGGTCGTTGACATGCCTTATCACTTGATAGGAGAAGAATGATATGCACAAAAGTTTTTACATGTAAAATTGATAGTGTGGCAAAAAAAACTTGTTAAAATATCGTCTTCTTTTTTTCTTTTTCTTTTTTTCTTCCTCTTTCCCTTTCTCTTCCCTCATCCTTTTCTTCACCTTCTACAAACACTAACTCCCAAATTTGTTGGCTCAAATACTCCTAGAGGAGAGTGAATTTGAGTTTTCTAATTTTTCTTTTTTTCCCAACCATGAAATGGAAAACAAAGAGAGAAGGAAAAAAGAGCTTTCACAATCAATTTTATAAAGATTCAGTCTAACCATTTGTACTTAATTCTGTACCTTAGTGTCACTTACCAAGAAATTTCTTCTTACTCTCCACTAGTGATCAAGAATAGTTTAAAAAAGTTACCTAATTCTTTTACAAAGTATTTTTTACTTGAACACTCCACTTTACAAATATCCCAATAAACCTTCTGTCTTAAAAGTTTTACTTACCTTCAAGTATCACTTCTTAAAATTTTACTCACTTCAAAGATCACAAAGAAAGGGTAAAAAGAAAGATTACAAATGACATGATTTCTAAAAATTCTAATTTGCAAGTGTGAGTTCAAAACTTTTTAAAGGATTTTAAGAATTAAGGTTAAATCTTGTTTGTAAATCTTCTAATATCTATCTAAATGCTTCCCAAAATTTTTACCAACCATAAGATGGGAACTAGTCGTCACTCACCATTTATAGCTACTGTCTGCACTATAGATACGTTTAATTTCAAGAAATGAACATTACTAATGTAATTGTTTAATCCAGATTAACTTCTCAGAGTCAGCTTACAAAAGCCGAAGTTGGCTTTGCAGCAACCCTTTCTTTCCTATTTTCTTTCAAGTTGACTGCAAAAAAATCTGCCCTGACTTATAATTTGAAAACCAATGAAATTAATAATCTACATATATATTTAATATATAA